GTCTTTGTAGCAACCAAAAGAGTTAGCTCCGCAACTCGTCTACAAGCAAGGTTAGTAGGTCCATTATTGGCAAGCTTCGGACTTAGGAATAATCCCTTTAATCCTGGATCGAAGATGCTAACAAGGTGGGAATCCAAGTAGGGGACCTACCTCTCTATCCCCTGTGTCTATCTCATGCCAAAGACGCCACACCAAGAAAGATCAACATATATAGCAATAAACAAAAAATTATCTTCCATTTAAAGATAAATTTCTTGTATGTAATGAAATAAATGTCCTCTATGTTATAATGCCCCTTTTGGTAGCCATTATTTCCGGGGAAAAAAAAAAAAAAAACAATGTTTTGAATTGTAATTTTTAGGAGAATGTGTTGTTAAAAAGTAGTGGAAAGTTTTGAATTTACTTGCAAAATATTTTATTGTGTGAATATATAATTGAAAACAAGTATGCATAATTTTTTTTTTTTTTTGAAAATAATGATTGTCAAACAGAGGCAATGGTTTGTGACTTGGACATGTATGCCCAAACAAACTCATACGAGTACAAGCCTTGTTCTCAACTGATTTGCAGAACGTATATAAGAATTTATGTCATAAGAGCAGCAAAAACAGGTCAAAGTTGACTTCAATGTATTGGGAATTGGCTTAGTATGTTCATGTTGGCGTTTTTGGTTTATCTCCAATTCTCATTGTACAGACTAGTTAATAATATGATGCCCACAGAGGACAGAGCATTCTATAACCACAACGAGGTCAAGAATATAATGGTGATTGCAAGCGAAAGAAACAGAAATACAAAATGATGGTAGCTTGTTAAGGAAACAAAAAGGCCAAGTACTTAGTTCCTTGATGAATAAATCTTCAATAAATGTTACATCCATTTGATTACAGATCTTTACAGAAGTAAATAATTCAGTTGAAAGCACTTTGATACAGCAACATATTCAGATTTAATTCTATATCAGTAAGTCCCATTGATTTGTCTAAGATTCAATGGTCAAGCAACACACAAGATTAAGAATAGTTGATTGATCAAACGTTTGCAACTTGTCATGCTGTAAAACACTCATACTTCATGGAACATAAAATATTTCACATACATGTAAGAGTCCAATGGAGTGGGTGTATGCATCAGTAAATTTCTGAATATATCAGCAGTACATTTGTCCCTTTTTGGTACTAGTTTTTTCGCTGGAAATTAGACGAGGTAGATGAATTTGAGAGCATATCCACATATCCATGTCTACTACTGTTGGCTTCCTTTCTCGGATGCAACTACTCCCGGAATAGCCCCTTGTCGATGACATGTGCCTGTGCTCACAACCAACCATTAGAACTGTTGGGAGGTGTCCTGGTGATGACTCCCCGACTCTCATATCAAAAGCAGGATTTGAAGGGAAAAGCAATGATAAATGGTGTTATTTTGTTTCTTGAAGAATGAATTGATACCTGGCACGGAAGTTTCCAGTACAGGCACCTTCGCGTCCCTGTATTTGGTAAGGTGTGTGGGCTGCTCCATTAAGGTCCA